TGTCCATAGGTACTGTCGCCGTATGGGTTATAGGACCCATAGCACTGGGATTTCCATCAGCTAAGTAGACCTGTCTTGCTTTCTTCGCTTGTTTGGTATGGAGGCTATATTTATCGCATATTTCTTTGTCTATAAAGTCTTCGGTGGCCCCAGAGTCGAGCATTGCATATATTGTTGTTTCTTTGTTTTCTTGGTTGTATATCTTCGTTTTGATCATCACGTGATCTCCATCTTCTTCCCCTTTTTGTGTGTGTAGTGCGGTGTTGTAGTTTGCTAATTTGATGGGTTTTCCAGGTCCACATCTTGGGTCTCCCAGACCACCGTTTACTGGGAACCCTAGTCATTTTCCGCCGGTGAATCTTCTGCTATCATTTCGCGGATGTTGCTTCTTCTTTGATTTTGGAGACAATTATTTCCAGCAGCTCTGTTTCCTTGGTATCCGTTGTCCAGTCGGCTTCTGCATTCTCGTATCCAATGTCCTGCTTTTCCGCACCGTAGGCTGAGTTTCCCATTTATCCTTCTGGCGTACTCTTCCTTAGACAGGTTCAGAGCCGGTCCTGCTCTTGATTTGTCTAGCTCCATTGGCTCACCTGGTGGTAATGCTCGGCTTTCTCCTCGAGGTGCTTGTGGTTTGAAGGTCCCATCCAGATTCCTGGATGATTGGACCACTCTCTGCGCTATAGCGTTTTCCGAGTTGCTTCGAACCATCTTTAATTTGCTTTCTTTATCTATTGCCCATCTTGCAAATCGTTCGGCTATCGTATAGCGCAGGTCAGAGATTCCCCATGCTTCTCAGAGTCTCTCGCTGCAGTTTCTCAGGAGGATGATGTAGAGAGTAGCATCATCAAACTCGGCCTCATATTCCAATAGTCGGCATTCGTTCCAGTATGCTGAAAATGTTTGTTTTCCTTGCTGGAGTTTTTCTAGCTTTCGTCTTGCCATTTCTTTGGCGTTGGGATCTCCAAATTGTTCGAAGAGTGTCGCCTTGAACTCTTCATATCTGACCCATTCCCTCTGCTTCCTTCCATCTTAGAAAGGCATGATCCATTGCCCCTCGAGTCCTCTGAGCAGAGATTCCACATATGGAATCCTGATCTCATCATGTTGTTCTCCATATCCCTTAACTGCAAAATATCCTTCGCATTGTGCTAAGAATATTTGTAGCTTATCTTCAGCTCCTTCGTATGTGTCAGGCTCCTTTGCTTTTGGTCGTTGGACATTTCCTTGTCCTGTATTTCGCGTAGCTGCGAGAAATTCCTGAAACTGATTTTCAGTCATTCCAAGTATGCTGGTTCCTGGTGCCAGAGCGGCTGAGGCCGGTGGCCCAAGTACTGCGGATCCCGACATTCTCTCAGGTCGTGGAGTTCCAGCAGGAGAGCTATCGACTGGTGATCCTTTCTCCGGAGTTACTGGGCTTGCTGCTCTCGAGTGTTCTGCTGAGACGTGATCTAGGGCATCGCTGAATCCTCCTAGATTCAGATTTTGATCGTCGATGTCAATATCTCCTTCCCTGTCTGGGTTGAAGGATGCCGTCTTGTATCGTTAAGTGTCACACTAGGTGACGCTTTGTAATGTAACGATCCCTTTCTAGATAGTTAGTTCTTGGCGACGGGGAACGATACTTATCGTTTCTGTCTCCTTCTTTCTTTGTCTTATGATAGCTCTAGGTCTCTGCCTATGTTACCGATAGTACAAGACCTTTGTCTTCTATCGGAAACACCTATCGTAAGCTTTCTCTAACTCGTCTTCGCGACGAGCACTTCTTGGCGTAATGATATCGTTGCAATAAAGATAAAGATCGTAAAGGTGTTTTATATTCGTTAAAGTAATAAGTAGGAAAAGTACTTAGAACAAAGCGTGAAGAACCTATCTTCCTCGGCCACATCGGCCTCCTTATATAGTATTCTTCCCGCCCATAGTCATGTGACCTAAAGTGGTCACATGTGCGAAACCAAATCATAACAAACTAATCATGTGACCAAAGTGATCACATGCTCAAAACCCATGACCTTATTGCGAGGTCATGTACAAAACTCATAAATCAATCGTAACGCAATAAACAAGTCATATGACTCAACTGAGTCATATCCGCGAAACCCATGACCTCATAATGAGGTCATGTGTAAAACACAAATCATATGCGCAAGGCTTACCTGCAAGGTATACTCGTAAGGCATACTTGTCAGGCACACGTCCCATGACTCATACTTGAGCCATGTGCGAAAGCATCACAAATCCCACACGTAACAAATCATATGACCCTAATGAGTCATATGTGTGAAACAGTAACATACCTGTGACTCATAACCATGCGTCACATGAAAACCCTTTCCTCACTACGTCCTATTCGTGACACACTGCATCTACCATGCAACTACAGGACGAAACACTGCTTTTATTGTTGACATGTCCGTGGCAAGCTGTCATGCTCGAGCGGATGTAATATGAACTTTGGAACTCTCTACTCATATATCCTTAGTCTTCTACAAGTATCCTCAGCCCCTAAACATTTATCTAGTTCGACTGTATTCCATATCATTCTCAATAATTGCTATATAGCTCCCTGCTTGACCTCTTCAGAGGTTGACTACTACTAGGCACTACCCACAGTCAACCCTTCTAGAAGGTCTCATCGTAACCTCAGACTAGTATCTCAGAGTCCTTAACGAATCTCTAATACTATTACACTTTCAGAATAATACACTTTGGTTACCTCGCCTACAGGCCTCCAGTAATTTCACAGACTACTTCAAATCCCAAGTGGTATTACTCTGTCAATTCTGGTCTGTTTAGTATGAAACTACTTGGAGACCATTCTCCAGGTTCACCTCTACCCCCTCTATATATCCCGTGGACAGCCGCTACTTGGATGGACGGCACAAGCATCAATGCTGCTACTAGAGTGCCTCTACCCACAGACCCCTGCTAGATTCACAGCAACCCTCTAGGATATAGCCCATGATACTAGAGACTTATACCGAGACTGGATGGAGGTGTTAGCCATCATACCTCCAAGTTACAGCTTATTTGGAGCTCAACTAGTTGTGTGGGAGTGATCCGCAGAACCTGAGATTTGAGAACCCTATTGTTATGAACATGGCTTAGCATGGAAAAGGTTTTCACGTGACACATGGGTATGAGTCACAGGTATGTTATTGTTTCGCGCATATAATTCATTCGGGTTATATGAGTTGTTATGTGTGGTATTTGTGATGCTTTCGCACATGGCTCAAGTATGAGTCATGGGACGTGCGCCTGACGAGTATGCCTTGCGAGGGTGCCTTACGGGTAAGCCTTGCGCATATGATTTATGTTTCGCACATGACCTCATTATGAGGTCATGGGTTTCGCGCATATGACTCAGTCGAGTCATATGACTTGTTTATTGTATTATGATTGGTTTACGAGTTTTGCACATAACCTTGCTATGAGGTCATGGGTTTTGAGCATGTGATCACTTTGGTCACACGATTAGTTTGTTATGATTTGGTTTCGCACATGTGACCACTTTAAGTCACATGACTAAAGGCAGGAAGAACATTATATAAGGAGGTCAATGCTGCTGAGGAAGATAGGTTCTTCACGCTTTGTTCTAAATACTTTTCCACTTATTACTTTCACGAATATAAAAACACCTTTACGATCTTTATCTTTATTGCAACGTTATCGTTGCACCAAGGAAGTCCTTCCAGAAGACAAGTTAGAGAAAGCTTACAATAGGCGTTCCCGATAAAAGACAAAGAAAGAAGAGGACAGAAAAGATAAGTATCGTTACCCATCACCAAGAACTAACTATCTAGAAGGGGATCGTTACACCTATATAGTATTGCATGATAAACAATCTTGTAACTTCCTCCGAAGACCTGTATAACAAGTTACTTTCAAGGTAGGATAACTTGGCTCTATAGCAGGGTAACCCATGGCCCAAGGCAGGGTAACTCTAGTCTGAAGGTAGGGTAACTCTACTAGCACTCACCATCAAGCAATTTAGGGTAACTTCTAAATTGACTACTTGGATCACCCTATCAAGTAGGGTAACTGCTGCTCCTTACTAGTACCTATGTACTCTTTTAGTATGACATAGCATGTCCAAGTGAGGTATCTAACTAACAGTACATCTACTCAGTAGACTCTAAGTTACTACCATTCCTACCGAGATAGTCTCTTGACACCAGTAAGGGTATAGGTTTAGCTAACTGTAATAGTACTCCATGGAGTCTCATTACATAAGTTTAGCAAATATAACCTATTATATCCCAAGCATACCAGGTGTATCTTATTGCATCCAGAGATTAGTTGTCATATTTATTTATATCCTGGTTAATTATTTGCATTTTCCATGTCCTGTATGTCTGATATATAGAATACACAGGATGTAATCTTTAATTTTTGCTGATACAAGAATAGGAAAATTAATGATGAGGATAATAATAAAATAAACAATTATAAGAGTTGATAATAATAGCAGTATAGTATATTATAATTATAATTAAAATCAATTTCCTTACTTAATAAAGGTAGTATTTAATTTTTCTTGTCAAAAGGAGTATGTAATTAGTCTTTCTAAAATAGAAGTCATAGAATCCAATTTAAAGAACTAATACAAAAATAATTTCTAGTCTATAGGGAAAAAATGAGATTTAAGGAAATAAATAGTTTGTATAAAGTTCATATTAATTAGCCTTTACTCTTTTCAAGAGAAAGGCTCTTTGCTTAGTATACTTCACTTATATACTCACACTTATTTGGTTTAATTTGTATTTTGTAATGTTCAGAGATGATTGCTCAATTCAGTTGTTCTTAATAACCTACTACCACAATAAATCAAAATCGGCATAAAAGTGTGCTTCCGCAATTGGTGGTTCCAAGCTCTGTTTGGTATGACACTTGTACGAGTAGTCTACTCGTACACGCACGGGCGCCTCTTGCAAGCAGTGAGGCTACCGTATGTTGCTTACTGTGACCCGAAAACCCCCCTACACTCCAACCGTCTCCATCACCAACCACCTCCCAAGCATCTTTCGTCTGTCCTTTTTTCTATTTCTGTCCCGCATCACTGCCCCACACTCAGCCCTCTAGCTACAAGCTTTAAGATATCATACCAAGTAAATTCTCAGGAGCTTACCGGCGCTCCTCATCTATCCCCGACATCACCGGAGTTGAGCTAGAGGAGTCAACCCATCTACCCTTCGATACTAACCGTCACCGCCCCTACCAGATAGGTCATAAGCATGTCGAACACACTCGATTCTGATCCCGGCTCGGAGCTCTTCGCCTCATACGAGGCCGATTTCAAGCTTGTCCGAGCAGATATCTCTCAAAAGCTCGATCAAATACCTGAGCTTTCCGGGGAGCCGCGCAAGGCGGCTATTCGTGCTGCCGAAAGGGCCGTTGATGAGGCCGATGAAATTGTGCATATCCTTCTACCCGCCCTAGGACTATTTTCGATGGCTAACAGTTGAGAAGCTCGGTCAAATGTCCCTAGAGATCAATAATATCCCCTCCGCCCAGAGACCCAAGGTTAAATCCCGTCTCCGCAACTATACCCATGACCTCGATACCTCCCGCCACTCGCTTGTCAAACACGCTCAAAACTTCGACCGTGATGCTCTCTTTGGAGCTCGCTCGAAACCCGGCACAGGGGATGCTGTGGTTGACCAGCGCCAACAGCTACTCTCTGGAACTGATCGGTTAGAAAGGTCTTCGCAGCGACTTAGAGATTCGCAACGTGTCGCAAACGAAACTGAAGAAATCGGTGCTTCCATTTTAGGCGATCTTGGGAGACAGAGGGAACAGATCATGAATACCCATAACACCCTGAACGATAGTGAAAGGTTTCTGGACAGAAGTATCAAAACTCTTAGGGGTATGGCACGTAGGTATGAGCCTTGACATTTGTTTCCCGTTTACGGTCGTGCAGCCTAACAAGCATAATTTATTTAGGATGGCTACCAACCGGATGATCACTATTGCAATCATAACCGTCCTAGTGCTGCTTATCATCGCTGTCATTGTCTCTAAGTTCCGTTAGAATCTCATTCTCGTACATTGGCTGAAGTTCAACTGGTGCTTTATTTTTAAATACCGCTTACTCTCACTATTGTATTTCCTGTTAGGATGGAGCCTGGGAGTTAACTTGTGTTGCGTTTTGTGTTTCGTTCGTGACCTCTGTGCCGGGTTCGAAGCATAAATAAATAAATAAAGTATAGTTATACGCTTCCTTAACTCTGCCGGTATACATTTGAATGCTCAAAATTTTTTAAAAGGTCTTGTCATATGGTCGAACAAAGGGACTGTTTAGCGCTCCCAAGGGAAGGACAGACGGTGTGATTTTTACCAGCTTTATAATACCGTGTTTCTACCTCCGCAAGATCCCTATGGAGCTACACTATTCCCTCCGGGACTACCAATGAAGCTATGAGTAGTTGTCGAGTACTGTGCTCGATGCAGCACAAGGCTTTTTAACCATTATCTTGGAAGGCCTCTTGTGTGTGTGCTCAAGTATTTATGGGGAACCGTAATATCCTAATTTATGGCATTAAAATACAATAGTTCTTTGACATAGCTCATTGGTGTTCATCCATGGCATCTCTTCACAAAACAGAAAAACAGCACCGAGACGGTAACAAACGGCGAACATAAGCAATTCATGCCAATGACCCCCCGACGAATCGCAACCCTGGTGGGGCTGGGAATCTCCTGATAAACTTGGTAATTCAGCTTAAGCCCCGAGAGTTTGTATTGCAGCCCGTCCGAGTGCGAAAAGGTACTCCTTTCGAAAGTTTCCAATTTTAGAAGCTACGAAACTACCGCAACTTTTCCCAAACCTTCACATGCTTGTCACAATAGGCAAATATTTCACTGAGCGAAGAAATAATATGTAATTGTGAAACTCCTATTATGCTGTAAACCTCCCGGATTGTGCGAGTATGGCCCTGCACACATCACTTTTGGTGTGGGATGCACGCCCAACAATCAGATATGGACCCCGAACTGGATCGGTCATATTTCGGAGGCAACAGCATGCAGGGAATGGTCACCCCCGATTGTGGACCCCGGCAGCAAGTACAGTACTGTACTCGAGTACGATACTCAATATCTAAATACTCGTAGTGTGTTGACGTTTGTGAAAATGGCCGCTATTACACACTACCTATACCCTATTTAAGTGGTATGCAATAGCAGGTGGGTTCACAAATGTTACCCCGCCAGGAGTAGTTATAGATTATGCTGACCAATTCACCAGACATTTGGACCCAGTGCAGCGCAGTGCCCTACCGCGCTTGACCCAGCAATACTTGTACTCTTATCGATGACATAGCTAACCCCGCATTTACTTTATATATGTAGTACCAGTGTTCTATCGATCCACTCCCCGCCGGCATCCCCTTCCAAAATGTCCACCCCAATAAACATCGGAATAATCGGCTGCGGAGAAGTAGCCCAAGTAGTTCACCTCCCAACCCTAGCCTTCCTACCAGAACTCTACAGAATCACTTACCTCTGCGACATCTCTCCATCCGCGGTCTCCCATGCAGCCTCAAAAATCTCATCCCAACAACCCATCCACACAACACAGAAAGCGGCGGAGCTATGCTCCTCCCCATTAGTCGACGCAGTCTTCATCTTGGGCCCAGAAGAATTCCACGCCGAGCATGCCCTTCTAGCACTGATACATGACAAACACGTTTTCGTTGAGAAACCGATGACCCTGACGAAGAAAGATGCACTGGCCATCGCTGAGGGGGAGAAGCATTCCAAAGGCAGGGTCATGGTGGGGTACATGCGGCGCTATGCCGCCGTCGTTGAGGACGCCATCGCGGAGATCGGCGGACGAGAGAATATCATATACGCCAGGGTCCGGGATATAATCGGACCGAACAGCACGTTCGTGGAACAGTCCGGAACGTTCCCTAGAAAGTTCTCCGATCACGCGCCCGAGGATGCGGGCGAATTCGCGAGGCGGACGAAGGATATGATTTCGGGGGAACTGACGGGGTATGGGGTTCCGGTCACCCAGGAAAGCATCGCGCAGTACAGGCGGGTAACCAAGTGAGCTGCCGGAGCCGAAAGTGGAAGCGCAAGTCGGTGCTAAACGATAGTAGGTTAGGCTGCCACGACCTATCTCTCATGCGCGAGGTCCTCGGAATGCCGGTTTGTGAGAACCCGACTCTCGGGGCATCACTCCGTCTGACGGTTTGGAATGTCCTCTTCAATTACGGCCACTTTACTGCACTCTATGAATCTGGTTTCCACCAGATTCCCATATTCGACGCGCATATCGAGGTATACTCCGAGAACAAGTCCGTGCTTATACAGTACGATACCCCGTACGTGAAGGGCTTGCCTGTTACCATGACTATAAGGGAGAATGTGGATGGGAAGTTTGTGGAGAGGTTTGTCAGGAATACATATGAGGATCCGTACACGCTCGAGTTGAAGAACTTTTATCATGCAATCAGGGAGGGGGGGAAGATCAAGACGGATGTGGGCGATTCGTTGGAGGAATTTGAGCTCTTTGAGATGATTATGAAGAATTGGAGGAGGTAGAAGAATTGGAGGAGGTAGTGGGGTCGTTTGGGTGTACACAATAGCTTATACTCGGTATTTAATGGCAGGCTTCAATAACCTGTTGATGAGCCCGACTCTGGATAATTGGTGGGATTGAATTCACTATATGGTGCTAATCAAGTATGCTTGCTAGGTGAAAGGATCTTGGGATTGTTTTACGGGATTTCCCCCCCGGCTCGGGGATGAGACTCGGGGGTTCTCGCTGTGAGATCTGCTATCCCTCCGCGGGCCCCCAAAACCAAGACCTCTTCCCCTCACTAAGCCCAGTCCACTCCATACCCACTACCGCCCCTCCAGAGCGCTTCCCACGCCCATTTTGTGCACTCCCGAAGCTCAAATAAGTAAATTAGGAGTGAGTTGGAAACCACGAAACCACAAGTTTTGATTACCGGTAGCTCACCAGCTTCACTAGAAATTACCCGCTCCGGGGCTCCGAGCGGTAGAAGCTCTCCAGTGCAGACGAAAGTGCATCGCAAGATTTCATACACATATTTGGGGAAACACTTGTACCCCACTTCACACTTTACAGCTCATACAGGCCGCCGCCCGTTTCACTATCTAAAATATCTAATCAGATATGTTGCACTCGTTTCTTCCTCCCGTCCTAATTCTTCCCGTCCTCTGGCGCCAAAGTAGACCTAGAAGGCGGAAGAAAGGGAAAATCGAGAGAGTAAAAAAATAGAGTCAACAAGTATCTCCCTGACTTGGTGGAGAATGTAAAAAGAGAGCCTCCCGGTGAGAACTCCCCATTATTTGAAATAGTGTTGGGCACGAGCTGAACCGGCTTGAAGGCTTGAATAGAGCCGCGGCTCGAATCTCACAAACCACATTTGCCACAAGCCTGGCTTGGTCGGGAATATCTAGGATGTAGCTCGAGCCGGGATTGAACCTGCATGCCCAAGTCCGTACTTGGGGGGGGGGGAGAAGAAAGAGGCAGATGATAGTAGAAGGAATGGGAAGTGAGGCGGGAAGTGAGGTGGGAAGTGGGAGAGGTATTGAAGCTCCCATGAAAATATGCCTAAAGCATCATGATAAGCGGAAGGAAGGAGATACGGGAGCGAATATGGGAGAGCACATATTTTCAAATACACCCCACTTCTTTGCTCAACCATACACAGGCCCTCGTGTTGCATACAAGTGATGTATGAAAGCTTGGCCGGGATCCAGGGTAGACTTGAGACCTCAAGCAATTCGAGCTCATTTTCCACGAGACAAGCTGGCTTGAACCTATAGTTAGGCCCGCCTCGAGCCAGCTCGTGCCTAAGACTAATCTAAAATAGTGCACCGACTCCCTTGAGATATCAAGAAGTCATCCCACAACACCAGTGGTAGTATTACAACGCTTCTCTAATTGTTTACTGATAGTGCCTGGCAAGGTGGGTGGCTAGGATCTTTCACCCCGGAAGATCTTTCACCTTGGAGGTCTCACTTTGGAGAGGGAGGTTTTATCATAAGATTCTCCACTACTTGGTCCAACAACTTACTTTATTGAATGGCGCGGTACCAGATTCATGGCTCCTCATCCAAATACTGGAATTCAGGGTTATTGGAACATTGTATCTGATTCTGGTTTTGACTCGACTGGAATGCTAGTGTGGCTTGACCCCGGTCCTTATAATGAATTCGACTACCAACTTTCCATATAGCCTTTGGCTTTAACCTTTAGCTTTTGGCTCCTGAAATTCACTATTGATTTCTCAATCCGGCATCATGGTTTTTTGGTATTGGTCGATAGGTATATATATAGTCCGTAGAGTAATGCATCACTTAGACAGCTCCCTACTAGAGCAATGGAAAGGGTCTGTTAAGGGTATTAAGGGTGAAGAAACGGAAGGGATGTATGGATTTATCGGATATTGGCACTGCCCTATTGGCAATGCCCTATGTGCACAACCCATCACACTCGCTTTGTTGCTCGCTAGAACCGGTTCCCCACCCCCGCTAAAAATATGGTAGTCCTGAAATGACGGACAGAACACAAGGGAGGAGGAAAGAGGAAAGTTTAAACGTGAAGTACCGGAGCGAGCCAAAATATCATCGCGAGCAAAAGACAACAGTGAGCCAGCACCCCACAGGAACAAGCTGCCACACTCGAGATCTCGAGCGATGCCCTGCTAGTTACCGTAGTGTATGTGCTCTCCCTACACCCCCTATCACCCCGGCACAATACCACTTTCCAGCAACAAATACTCCCTAAGCCTTAACCCCACGGCGAGCTAGGCGGTCGGTATCCGCATAATACCATCGTGGTTGCGCGCCAATACAAAAGGATGCGGGAGGAGGGTGAATCGATCATTGACACGGCATCGGTGATTGCGGCATCACGTGCAGGGGTAAGGGCGCTCGCACGAAACCACACTAGTGAGCCAGGATGGATTCATCCACAACACTGTTCCTTTTCAGTGATATCAGATATGCACTCTTCTTATACTGCCAAGCCGTCCATGAGGTTGAACAAATGATTTTGACTGGTCGAGGGGAGCGAAAGGTTGATCGAGCGGGGTTCGAGGATTTGATGCAATGCGGTGGTTAACAGTGCGGTACCGTATGTGGGAGCGAGGGCGGGCGGGGGAGGAGATCTACCCGTAATGCTCCTTCGTAACTTGCTCGAGTACAGCATCGTGAGTTGTGTCGGGGTTCCAGTACGCATCACCGGCACCCCAGCTCGCAGTGGGAAAACCATCGTCACTACTACCAACCCCCTCACCCCTCCCAACCCCGCATGCTATTAGTAGCTGGACGAGCACCAGCAACTCAATCATCGGCATTTGGCCGTGTAAGCCCTCAGCGGAGCGGTGCCGTCTGGGAGGCTTGGCGCGTGTTCAGTGCGAATCAACCACCAAATCTAGGCGCCAATATTTGCCAAGCCTCGTTGAAGGCGCAGCCCCTCTTGAGGGAACGACAAACAACGCAACATGCCTCAAGAACTCGAATAAACGGGACTAGCGCCAAGACGTCGAAAATTCCCTCTCCGCATAGTGGCCAAAAAAACTGCGAAAATTGACCCCCGCCCCCTCCCTCAACTCCAGCTCAAGACGAAAATTCGCCGAACCTTATCAGTAAAAGGCAACTCTAACGCCCTAGCACAAGTGTTCGAGTACAAGTACAAGTACTGAGCACCATACTCGCATATACCAGTTATTCGGGTTTCTCAAATTTACAGTACCATGATAGGAACCGCAACTCCCCGGCTGATCACCGATCCTCTACGGTACCGTACCCGACATCATCCCGCCGAGGCTCCGGGGGCCAAGTTTAATACGGAGATTCAGGGCCCCCTCACACAACACCCCAACCACCACACCGTTTTTGTTTTTCTCGACGACCGCCGCGCTCTGCGAAAAAGGTGAAAGCACAAGTGTCAGACGCTTGGCCCTTTCGCTTGGCGGGAGGGAAAAACACCCCCCCCCGCCGGGGCGCCGTAACCTATACTCGAGTACTGGCGGCAGTTACGACAGGGCTGTGGGTGGGAGGTCAACCCTGTTGGCTTTTATGATAATGTGTGGTGCTGGGGGGGAGAAAAAATCCCCCCGAAATGTGCGCCGGAATTTGTGTCCCCCTCGTGCTACGGAGTTGGCCCCCACCCATCGTACACTTGATGAAGTGGGGCTTGCGGGGATTTTTTTGAGGGTATGATATCATGTTGTTGCTAGGGAGTGATGATTTTCGCGATTGATAGAGTGTGATAACGCTGGGACTGAAATCGTCTTTCGGTACTCTTTACGCCTCATAACGTCAGCACCACATACAGAACACAGATTTGAACCTGATGAGATAACATCCACAATCAAGTAAAAACAGAGGGGCTAGCTAAGAACTATTCTTGTTATCCCCGCTACACCACAATCATGGACAGTCACTCATTGTCTTGGGTGATATATCTGTTGCATCTTGGCATCGGCGCTGGTGCATGTTTTTGGTTCTTCCGGCACTATGCTGTGCCCGAAGGTTTATATTGGGAAAATTTTTTATTTATTTAAGTGTCAAAGGGCAGGGTTTGTTTGGTGTGGTGTGGATGGTCTACGATACATACCGGCACGGACGGGAGTTGTTTGTGTTCTTGATAGGAGTGCCGAACGTTCGAGATGTTTCTGAATGTGAGAGTGTCTCGGCGCCATGACTTGGCCGCAGCCAATATCATACCGTATCATTTTTGACAACGCTGGAAGGGCAAAGGGAAAAGACTTCTACCCTTTTCAGATGCTGGCTCTGGGTCAATGGCACTGATATCATATCATACGCGCGGAGAAGTTAACGTGGAGCAGCGCTCGAATATTTAACTAATAATACATCTGTATAAATGCTCCCAAGTCTTTGAAGAAGAAATCAAAACTCCGTTCGGGAATGCTCCAATGGAAATAAACAACAAGGGGAAACACCGCCCATTCATGACCATCTCGCCCTCCCCCCCATATTGCCCGGAATGCCTTTTTTCCTCCCCAACTGCCGCCGTTATGAGGGGGGGAAAAATGCCTAATATCAAACTTTTCTCTACCCATTCCGTTCCATTCCACCAATCCATCCCATACAAAGAAAATCGAGAAACAAACACAAAAAAAACTTTCTTCTCAGCTAGAGTGATACCCGAGTTACCTAAGCTGTTCATGTGGCGTAAGACGTGATAGGGAAACGACAGCAATAGTAATGGCAGGTATGACAAATGGAAAAAAAAAAAACGAAGAAAAAAAGAGAAGACAAATATCGAAAAATATAACAAGAAACAAAACGATAAATAACCATCCTCCGGGATCAGTCTCAACAAAGTGGCTCACCTCAGAGCCCTCTGTCTCGCAGACTCCTCATCCCCCACGGGAGTCGAGGGCCTGGACTTCTTGATAACGAACGACAAATGTGGAAGCAGGCCCCTCTTCGGACACTGCGTCTCAGCAATCAACTCGTCCACCTCCTCCCTGAGCAAATTCATCTCGTAGACTAAATCTGTGAGCCTGCCCAAGTCGGCGAAATTTCTCCTACAGGGACACGTGGGATTCCTGTCGACGATTCTGGCGTAGAGATGGGTCTGGTACTCATCAAGCACGTAGGTCGACAGCGACTCATTCCTAGGCATGAACAGGCGTGCGCTGAGTGTGTGCGAGATGACGAGTAAGTCGTTGCAGAGAGATGCTAGGAGTTTCAGTCTGAGCTTTTCTCCCTCCCCTCCACTCACCTTGGACATCGCGGGTTCGGAAGCATTCTCGCCAATGACGAGGACCATTGTGTCCACGACCTTCTCCAGTATGCGCTCGAAGCGCTCGTACGGCCAGTGACCAGCCAGGGAGACTTCGTACCTTGTTGCTGGAAGGAGTACCTTTGCGAAGTTGACGCGATGCCGGGCCTTCTCGGCCATGTCGTCGAAGCGTTCCCTCAGCATGGGGAATTCGCCACTTGCCTCTATAGCGAAAACTAGGTGGTGCAACCAGTCGAGGGAGTGTGAGAGCGCCTTCGCCAGTGCGCTGCGGGAGCGGAAGGGGAAGAGAGTTAGGTGCACGAACATTGCTATCACCACGCCCACAGGTAACGTCAGGATTCTGCGGGCTAAGGCGGAGGAGATGGGTCCGTGGTCCGGGAATATAGTCGCAACGCCTAGGATTATGTTGTATGCCAGTGCGAGCACTGTTCCGGCTTTAGTGAACTTGGGGTGCTGCACAAGGAAGCCGACTCCAAGACCTACGAGGGATGTGAGTGTTATGGAGACGTATATCACGCCTTGGCCCATCTGCACTACAAGGAAGGCTGCCAGCCCGCCCATTATTGCACCAGTAAGTTTCATCCCTGCGGTACGGAAAGTCATGCCTCGTGTCGTTTCCATCACCACCATGGCGGAAATGAGTGCCCACTGTACGCGCAGGTGCTCGTACCACATGTACCAGTCGGATATGTAAGCCGGCAGCGAGATAAGGCCCATGACAACAGCGAACTTGGTCCCGTATTTGATGTGCCGAGAGCTGCGGAACGCAAGGAGTCTGTCGGCGAGATAGATTCGGCAACGGTCTAGTGCCGATGTCGATTCAAGAAGCAAGACTAATCCATGGTCCCCTTCGCTCACCGCACGTCGAGCAGAATCGTCCTCCTCAATCAATTCCCCTGCCGTGTGTATGCCATCAGCTTTGGTCATGGGTGTTTTGGGCATCCTGGAGGAGGGAGGGGAGTGCTTACCAGTATAGAGTTTCCTAGGCGGGACAAGAGAAATTCTCCGCTTCTCGACACAATTAATTATTTGTGCAGTATCCTTGACGGTTTCCAACATGTCTAGAAGCACAGCGTTCACTTGATCCATGAATGCTGCGCCCTCTAGCTCGTGGGGTCCCGATATCGTCCGTAGCTCGACCTCGGCGGCGAGTTTCTCGCGGATATCATCGATCTTACTGGCGAACCTTTTGTACTCAATCGTGGAAGCGATCTCCTTGCCGTGGTAGAGCTCCTCGACGCGGACAATCATGATGTCGAAAAGATCGAAAACGCTAGCAAAAGCCAACTCGATCGCCCGCTTGGAGTTCATGAGATCTAACTTGGCCTCATCACAATGGGTCACGGTAGAGATGTCCAACTCTTTATCCGAGAGATCTTCGAAGCGGAAGTGGACACGAGTGTAGAGCCTGTGCCTTCTCCGCATTGCGGAATTGAAAGCTCTAGCTAAGGATAACATCCGAACAATTGACGCACTCAATGGGACAAACACCGCTGAGTCGACCCTCGTGAGCGATAATTCGTAGTTCGCCTCTTCGAGAGCAGCTGAAATCTTGACATGTGATTCCTTGAAGGCGGTAATATCAACCTCCTGACCGAAGCTAAACTCCATAGAATGCTGGACAGACTGCATCACGTTCTGGGCTTCCCGCAAGCCCGTAATGACGTCGTTGCGGAGCATGGATGAGTGATCTTCAGGCCAGAAGAGGAAGCAAACGACGAGAGAGACACAAGCGCCGAACACCATGGCGAAGAAGAAGTTGTGGAAACAAGCACCAAAGTGGTTGATACCGCGAATGAGGGCGAACATATTGACCACCATGATGAAATTGGTGGCGAGATATGCACGAGGATATTTAGACCGGACATACCCGCAGCCTACTGATAGGAATACAAGGGCGCTCCAGAGAAAGGCCCTGCGGCCGACGCCTATATCGTTCGTGTTCTTGGACTGGATCAAGCGGCCTAAGAGAAGTGTGATGTTCGCATATCCCAGCCCACACATAACACCCAATAGGCCTACGCCTGTAGATGCTAGCTGGCCACCAACTGTCTTGAGCGGGAAAAGATAGATTGCCTGTATATATTAACATACTTAGTAAAGAAAACATTGACTCCAAGAATTCAGAAAAACTCACGACAGTGCCCAGCAAGAATGGATTCTTTCCGAGGAACTTGGCAAAGAGCGGGGGGAGTGTAAATGCCACGGCCATCGTCAATGATAGTGAAACTTTAATAGCACGCTTATTACGTCTTGGTGAATCGAGAAGACTCCTGCACAGTCTTTGGAGCACCTGGTAGACATTGCAAAGATGCTGTTTCAGTCTCAAAACCATAGATACTACAACTGACTTTGTCATTGTGCAGTAGAACGCAGTGGCTGTCGTACCCTATTAGCTTCTTCTCCGAGATAACATATGAATAGAACCAGAGCTCACCTCAAAAAGAAAAAGGCTTGAAACTATGGCTCACACCCACAAACCGCACACGAATCCCAAAAGGAGAGGGGAATTGGTTAAGTGATCTGATAAATAGTCGTCGACCAATACTTAGAAATCGTGGAAATATATAAAAAAATGAA